CCCACCCACCTTTAGGCTGTGGTTTTTCATAGTTTACTGCCCTTTGTTTTGGAGGTTTCATCCAACACAGAGCTGTTGTCCACTAGGTTTCTTGGTTTCCCTCTCTAAGTGGATGATGATCAAAATTCATGGCGAAAACATACTTATCCACCATAAAAGATGACTATTTAACTATATTTCAATTTGTTTCTTCCCCTCCCCCCGCCAAAAAAAAATGTGAAGGGAGGGTCCAAACAAAACATATCACAAAAGGTCCTCAAGTTTTAAATCTTTTGCATTCATTTTATTATGCCAAAGAAGATGGTAATCAGCTTAATTAAATCAAGCAACCAGGGTTCCAGAACAGTTTGCCTGTGTGTCATAGCTGAATAGTAGACTGAGTGTGGCAGTGATAATCTGAACATATAGGGTTTTCTCAGTTGTGAAATGTTTGTGTTACGGATAACTTTCTTGTTGTTTTTGTTACAGTCTGACAGCTGAAGATGCTTTTAAAACCTTCTAGTCACTTAGAGCAGAGCTATACAACATGGCCTTGGTGGTTCTAAAAGGCAGATCCTATCCATCACAGAAACAGCAAGTCTCTGGGTTATGGGGGAAGATTGAAGGGTGGAGGAGTGAGGCAGGGAGAAGGGGGAGCTGCTCTGTCCAGTTTACATTTGTCACCAGTGACTAGCTTTTAAAAAATGTATTAGCTGTGCATGGTGGTAAGTAAGATCCAGCTGCAGGGGATTACTGCTTTGAGTGGGTCGGGGAGTTTGGAATGCATTCAGTTCCATCAGGGGATTTGTGTCCCTCGTCATCAGCCTTAACATTACTAAAGCAGTAAAGATTAAGAACAGACCAGTGTCACCTGCCCTGAACTTTGGAAAACCCTGGAGCCATTGAACAGAGAGGGGTAGTGGTTTAAAAACTGTCCTTTCCCTCCATCCCAAAGTGTTTTTCAAATGATACTTGGGAAATAAAAGGAAACACGTAAGTTCAGGTAAAATGCTGTCTGTGGTTGAATTATTCCCACAACTTACTAAACATGTCATAATCATAATATTTTAATGAAAAACACCTCTGCAAATAACTTTGTTAATAAACATTTCTGTGGGGGGTTTCCAAATCAATAGGAACAGTAGTTAGAAGGGAATGTTTCTGAGAGAGATTTAACCTCCTTTGGAGAAGAAGCTTTTACTTGGTTTGGCTTTGGTCACACCCCCTTCCCCTCAAGTAAGAAAGTTAAGAGAACACCACAAAGGTTTACTTTTTCCAGGGATTTTGAAATTCAGCATACATGCCAGCAAGCAGTTTAGAGGCAGGAAGTCTTTTCTAGTAGTGCAGTCATGAACTGGTAAACTAGAAGCATCTGTAAAAATTTAGAGGGAATATCAGCTTTCTCAGAGCTCTAGCCCAAGTGTAATGAGGTGCAAATGATAGCACTCCATAACCTTCCCCACCCCAATTCTGGAATGCGATATTGAGGCAAAAATAAAGAGGGAAACAAATTTCATTTTTCAAATGAAATGGCTTTTCAGTGATTAAGGATAGTCAGCTTTTAGGGTGGGTGAGTACAGGCAGTCCCCGGATTAGGAACCAGTTCCATTCCTAAATCTCTCCTTAAGTCGAGTTTGTACATATGTCGGAACAGTTAGGTATGGTTATAGCTAATGTCAGTTAAGTCAAATGTTTGTCTTAATGTATAGCATATAGTATACCTTTCTATGCATAAAAAACATTAAACACTTGGAAGTTCACTAAAACATCTTTAACATAATAATACAGTGATGATAATGTTTTGATGCGCATCTCAAAGTAGCACCCATTTATTATTACAAAACACTGTATGTACCTTGAATTTTTAGTATAATAGGCTTTACAGGGGTCGGTTCCTAACTGTGGGTTCTGATGTTCGTTAGACGTTTGTAACCTGGGGATTGCCTGTAGTAAGTAAACAAATGCTTTTCTGCTCAGCATCTCTAGATATGATAGTTGGAAAGTGGTTGCTTTTGTAGGTATGGGTGTATGAAATGACATACCTGCATATTTGGCTGAGTTAATTAACAAGAGTTTTTAGTTTAAAGTAACCCTCAGCTGATTTGTATCTTCAGCAGGGACTTCTTTCTTTATAGAAAGAAAAAAAAAGAGGGGTAAGAAAAAAAGACGTGATTTGTTTGAAGGAACACATCTGGGGTGTGATCTGCTATATCTTAACACCAGATGGCAGGTTGAGGCTGACAACTAAACCCACTTTAGCCTGGTCAAACGGTATCTCAGTATGTCGTGTTTTTTCCCGCTGGCCATGCACTGGAAGTGGAACAATTATTTGCACTGGGGGCTAGCAGTCCTCCTGGTATCTGTGGCTTTGGGCTCTCTTTCACTACCTCTCTGCTGTTCATAGACAAGGCTGGCTTCCCT